TCGTTTATACCTTGAGAACTCCTCATCAGACTGGCTTCACATTTCCAACACTGGTATACCGTAAATAAATAAAGATTCGTACAACTATTCGCAGCTGCAGGAACAATCTGAACCGAAGTTCAGGACTGTATAAGCTAGATCTATTTATAATAAAATTTGCCAGATTTATAAACCATTCTGATGAACCAGTTCACTTCTGGTCAATGTTGATTAAACCATTCCCGGGTTTGGTTTCTATGTGATAATTTGAGGTAGCCCTTGTTCAAGCCCGTCTTTGATTTGTATATTTCAGTCACTATCTCCTCCTCATTCTTCGGCTTTCAAGAAAGCACTGGTTCAGGGCTCTTAATCAATCTTCGTGTGTAAGATTCCGTATAAAGCGAATTAATTTAGTCCTCTCTCTTCTGTGTACGTTCTCCAGCGCATTTCTGACCATTCTGTAGTACGGAGACCAAAAATGAGCTACTTAATCTGAAGACTTACAAATACTGAAGAAAAACATTCTTGATGAACAACTCACGTGCAACACCAGGGTACCCTTCATTTGAGAGACGTTTCGCCCTGGTGGACGAAACCTTTCCAAAATTTCATTCAAAACACCAGACACAACCTTAAAACATTGCAATACACTCAACAGACCTCTTCTTCAACTTGCTGCCAAAGTTTTGTTACCAAAATCTCATTAAAGTCAAGGACTAACCTGTGAGTGAGCAGAGAAGGACAGCAAAACTCGCAGCATTTGGGAATCTTTACTGAGGAAACGTTTAGCCAGCCAATGGCTTCTTCAGTCCAGTACAGAGAAGAACGGTGAAAGATGTGTTTAGACCATCAGTCTCAAGATTGATGGTCTAAACACATAGACTCGAGGCCTTCAACTTGTCTCTTTCTAAACATTAGGGAGGGGGGACTCGAACCCGTATCGTTTTGGCCCGCCTCATGGTGAGCGAAAATCTCACGACGCTCTAACCAGTGATCTTTGTAGGATTGGGTGGTCCTGTGGGTTAGAGCGTCGTGTGTTTTTTCACTCACCATGAGGCGGGCCAAACGACACGGGTTCGAGTTCTCGGCTAGTCGCAGTGTTGTTATAGCAGATGTTAAGAACCACAGAGTTTATTATTTCTAGGCAAAGATTCGGATCCGTGTGTGTGAATACACACACACACACACACCACCCACACACACACACACACACACACACACACACACACACACACACACACACACACACACACACACACACACACACACACACACACACATATATATATATACATATATATATATATATATATATATATATAATATATATATATATATATATATATATATATATATATATATATATATGTGTGTGTGTGTGTGTGTGTGTGTGTGTGTGTTTGTGTGTGTGTGTATTCACACACACGGATCCGAATCTTTGCCTAGAAAAAATAAACTCTGTGGTTCTTAACATCTGCTCAAGACACATTCCATTAAGAAAAAGAAAGAGAAGATGTAAACTAGAAAGAGAGAGATGCTCCATATAGAGACAAAGGCGAAGAGTCACAGAGCTGCTAAGGGGGACCAATATGTCTGAAATACGAAGGGAGGCCTTGGTCATTGAAATTGCAAATATCGAACTTAAGCTGAAGGAATCTTACAGGAAACAAGAATCATAATACTCTTTCTCTTATGCCAAATCTAAGTTAAAAACAACATCCAGTACTGGGCTCTTGCTTATGCGAGATGGGACATACACAGATGACAGCCAAGAAATGAGTGAGATACTAAAGTCCCAGTACGACTCAGTGCTCAGTGAGCCGCTACCCAGACTAAGGGTCGAAAATCCAAATAAATTCTTGATGAACGAGGCCCAAAATTTGATCATCTCAGAATTCTCGGATATTATCCTAATACCACAAAACTTTAAAAAGGCAATAAATGACATGCCCATGCACTCTGCCCCAGGCACAGACTCATGGAACTCCGTGTTCATCAAGAACTGCAAGAAACCCCTATCACGTGCCTTCAGCATTCTATGAAGAGGGAGCATGGACACAGGGGTCATCCCACACTCACTAAAAACAACAGACATTGCCCCACTCTACATAAAAATCTTTGAAAGGGCTCTAAGAAGCAAGATCGCTAACCACCTAGATACCCATAATTTACACAACCCAGGGCAACACGGGTTTAGAGAAGGTCGCTCCTGCCTGTCCCAGCTACTGGACCACTATGACAAGGTCCTGGAAGCTGTAGAGGATAAACATAATACGTATGTAGTATACACAGACCTTGCAAAAGCCTTCGACAAGTGTGACCATGGTGAAACAGCGCACAAAATGCGTGATAAAGGAATACCAGGAAAAGTTGGTAAATGGATCTATAACTTCCTGACAAATAGAACACAAAAAGTGATAGTAAACAGAGTAAAGTCCGAGGCAGCTTCGGTGAAAAGCTCTGTTCCACAAGGCACAGTACTCGCTCCCATTCAATTCCTCCTCCTCATATCTGACATAGACAGAGATGTAAGCCATAGCTCCGTGTCTTCCTTTGCTGATGACACCCAAATTGCCATGACAGTGACCTCCATCGAAGACACCGCGAGACTTCAAGCGGACATCAACCAAATTTTTAAATGCGCCACTCAGAACAATATGAAGCTCAATAAAGAGAAATTTCATATGGAAAACTTGAGGAAATTAAAACTGTATCAAGGTATACAACAAATTCTAACGATATAATATAGCGACAAAGTAATGTGAAGGACCTGGGAGTGATAATGCCAGAGGATCTCGCCTTCAAGGACCACAATAATGTATCTACCGGATCTGCTAGGAAAATGATAGGATGGATAATGAGAACCTTCAAACTAGGGGCACAAAGCCCATGATAACAACATAAGAACATGTGAAAGAAGGCACACTGCAGTATGCCTAATGGCCCATGCGAGGCTTGTTCTCTCTTCAAGGCAGGGGAAATTGATGACCTGGAGAGTGTTCAAAGAACTTTCACGGCACACATTAGTGCGATAAGGCACCTAAATTACTGAGACTGGTTGAAGTCCCTTGATTTGTATTCCCTGGAACGCAGGCGAGAGAGATACATGATAATGTATCCTAGAAAGATTAGTACCAAACTTGCACGCGAAAATAGCTCCCTATGAAAGCAAAAGTCTTGGCAGGAGTTGTAACATTTCACCGATGAAAAACAGGGGCGCCAGGAGTACACTGAGAGACAACACAATGTGTCAGGGGCCCAAGACTGTTCAACTACCTCCCAGCATACATAAAGATGATTACCAATAGGCCCCTGGCTGTCTTCAAGAAGGCACTGGACAGGCACCTAAAGTCAGTACCTGACATGGTTGATAGACCCTGATCCACCAAGAGACCTGGTCTCAGACAGAGCCGCGGGGATGTTGACTCCGAAACCTTCTCCAGGCATACTCCAGGTATATATATATATATATATATATAATATATATATATATATATATATATATATATATATATATATATATATATATATATATATATATAATAATATATAAATATATATATATATATATATATATATATATGAAATATATATATATATATATTATATATATATATATATATATATATATATATATATATATATATTATATATATATATATATATATATATATATATATATATATATATATATATATATATATATATATATATATATATACCTCTAGAACTGTCCTAGGGACCCTCATCCTCAGAGAAAAGAATAAACTTGCTTCAGGGAAAACTCAAGATTCTCTCTGAAGCTGTTTGAGAATTTTCTCCTACCACCCCCTATATTTAATATATATTTATTTAAAGGCAAAATACATCAACAAAACATTCACAAAGATAAAATAGAGAGTAAAACAACATAGGTAACTCAGAGCTACATCTCGAATACTTCGTCCAGCTCCCCGGCGGTGGGCCGCGTGCCCAGAATGCTGCAGGCATTTCCTCTCTGGATCGCAACGCTGAGTCTCTGAAAAGGAAGCTGGTCGCCCTGTGGTCCTTGGTTTCTATGATGAGCTTTTCACCCAGCTCTTTGAGGAACTTTAGAGCACACTTGCCCCATGCTCCAAGGGTCTCCGACCCTATTGGAATGAAGTTATAGCAAGGGGAAGGTCTTCATATTTTCGGATCTTCTGGGTCTCCCTGTGGCTGGCAGCTCCACCCACTTCCACTACGGAGTATGGCAAGTAGGTGTCTGCCAATGTGGCGGTACAGGTGTAGTCCCAGGCAATCTGCTTTCCCTCCTTCCAGGGTAGCATAGTGGCTCCATCAGGACGCTTTTGACTTCCGTCAGACCTCTGCACTTAGGGTTCCCGTTGAGCTGGGCAACGGGCTGTGGCGAGGCTTCTCTTTATGATGTCATTGACCTCCTAATGCCTGGCATACTTGATCAGCTGTCGCCCTGCCGCAAATACACCTATGGTCGGTGAGAATGGGGGCGGCTAGGCGAAGAGCAACACCAATCCGAATGGCCTGTGGGTCTAGTCGAGTGCCAGGGAGGAACTGGGAACAGCTAACAGGAAATCTGAGTGTGGTGCCTTCACTGCCAGGAGACGAGCTTTGTCCTTTCCTGAGGCGTTGGAGAGCATTGTGTTGGCGATTTTTTCCATGATCGGTTTGTCCCAGTGGTACTGTTTGTGTCTTATATATATATATATATATATATATATATATATAATATATATATATATATATATATATATATATATATATATATAATATATATATATATATATATATACACACACACACACACACACACACACACAATACAACAACACATATATAATATATAATATATATATATATATATATATATATATATATATATATATATATATATATAATATATATATATATATATATATATATATATACTTATTAGTATTTTTTCTTTATTTGTTTCTTGAAATAATACTTTTATCTTTCTCTTCTCAACTCAGGTAAAAGGCAAAAGTTCGAAATACTGGCGAGAAAAAAAAAATAGTTTCTGATTCCTTACTTAAGGAGTTGAATCCAGTATAAAGTAGGATCCAACACTACTCAGGGTGAGATGGACTGAGTTTGAAGACCTCGTTTAGGCTCTTCACTCTAGGTAAGACTTTGCTTCATTCGTCTATATTTTAGTAGAAGATAAAAAAAAATATTTTTTTTATCTGGTTTATAGTTGTCTCGGTGGTTGGGTTTATTGACTGCGCTTCTCTCCCTGTAGAGCGAAACGATGGATTCAAAACGTTGTGTTGTGAGAATGAGCGAGGAGGTGGAGAAAGTCAGTGGAGGATGTAATTAGACATCTCTGAAGAGTGATCTCCAAGTGGTTCCAGGAATTTATTTTTTTTTAATTTCTTCAACTTTTCGCTATTCTCTCGTTGTTGCCTCGAGACTCCCTCATTCATAGGCTCCAAAAATTTCATTTCTTGTGGACGGTGACTGGAGCAGAGTCTTTGTTACCGTATCATCTAACAGGTGCAGGTATATCCAACCTTGCTGTTCCCATCCCCAGTATCCTGGAATGGCTGTGATAGCTTCCAAAAGCTTCAGCTGCTGTGCTTCGAGCGTTGAAAAGATGCCTCGTAATTTGACGAGCAAGAGAGAGAGAGAGAGAGAGAGAGACAGACAGACAGACAGACAGAGAGAGAGACAGAGACAGAGAGAAAGAGAGAGAATTCAACGGTGGGAGTGAATTTAACCATGTTAAATAAATTTCTGTTAACCTCTTCTGAATGTCTTCAGTATTTAATGGCTGAAGCATCTTAAGACCAGGACAGTAACTCTGTATATGACCTGCTCACAGGACGGACCGCGGGGGGCATTGACCCCCGCGGTCCTTAAAGAAAAAGAACTTGAAATCGTTGGAATCCGTGAAGTAGCTGGAGAATGACTCATCCGATCGGGATCAAACTTTCACCATTGGCGTGGTTTCCTGAAGCAAGTTTCACACTTTTATTGGGCGGCAAAAGTCCCAGTTCGTTAATTTTGTTTAATGGTGATATTCATTTATATTCAATAACTGGAGAATGCCTCTTCAGATCGGCTTCAAACTAGTAACGGCGATGCGATCTGTGAGAAGAATTACGCCCCGTAAGTTTAGTCTGAGTTGACGCGAGTTTGAAATTTCACTGGAATTTAAACAAAAATGGAATCATTTGACAGGTAAGTAGTTACTGAGAGATAGTTACTGAGAGATAGTTACTGAGAGATAGTTACTGAGAGATTGTTACTGAGAGATAGTTACTAAGAGACAGCTACTGATAGGTACTGAGATATAGTTATCGAGAGATAGTTACTGAGAGATAGTTACTGAGAGATAGTTACTGAGAGATTGTTACTGAGAGATAGTTACTAAGAGACAGCTACTGATAGGTACTGAGATATAGTTATCGAGAGATAGTTACTGAGAGATAGTTACTGAAGAATAGCTACTGAGAAATAGCTACTGACAGATAGTTACTGAAAAATAATTACTGAAAAATAGTTACTGAGAAATAGACAGGCAGAAAAAGTAGGCAGGTAGATATTGAGAGATAGTTAATGAGGCATAAAAAGGAAAAGAAAATAATGAAGAGAAGACAGATAAACCAAAAATGGGGGAAAAAAGGAAAAAACCTCCTCATTTAACCCCTGCTCACCCTTTGCCCCTTTATTTTCCTTAAAGATTATTCACCCCGGGTAAACACATATCCTTTTTAAAACACCCCCTTGTCCAGAAACTAGAACTATGGGAAAGGGGACCCAGGATTCCAGGTCTTTAAGGGGCGGGGGAGTTTCCCTCCCGGGAAATTACCTCCAGGTAAAAGTTTTTCCACTTGTTTTCCAAAATTCCCAATAAGGGGGTTTTAAGTGTGGGGGGCGCCAAGGGATGATTAAAATCGGGGGGTCCCGCTTTTCACTTGCGCTTGTGTTAAGGGAAAAGGGTGAGGGGAGTACACTTTTTTCCGTAGGTAAAGTGTTCGAAAAGTGTTGTTTTTGCATTTTTGGGAAGGGTTTACCCCCGGGATAATGTTGCTAAAGTTTACCTTTGGGTGTTTTAAAAAAGGGATTCTGTCCCCCCGGGAAAGTGGGGGAAAAGGGTATCGTCCCTTGGGGGTTTCGGTAGGTTCCCCCTTTTTTCTCCCGGATTTTCTTTTGGGGTTCCCCCCCCCTTTTTCCCCCTGGATGTTCTGTAGGTATTTTCCCTTTTTCTCCTGGGATGTTCTGTGGGGGTATCCTTCCCTTTTCCTGTGGGATGTTCTGAAAGGTATCACCCCTTTTCCTCCGGGGAAATGTTCTTTAGGTATTTTTTCCCCCTTTTCTCCTGGGATTTTCCCTGAAAGGTTTAATCATCCCCTTTTCTCCGGGGAATTGTTCTGTTGAAATCTTTTCCCTTTTCCCCCCCTGGGATTTTTCTGAAAGGTATCTTCCCCTTTTTCCCCTTTGGGATGTTCGTAGGTATTTTCCCCTTTTTTCTCCGGGGATTTTTCTGTGGGAAATCTTCCCCTTTTCTCCTGGGTTTTTTTCTGTAGGAAATCTTCCCTTTTTCACCCCTGGGATGTTTCGGGTTAGGTATTTTTCCCTTTTCTCCGGGGATTTTCCCTGAGGTACATCCCTTTTTCCCGGGGAATTTTTCTGTATATCTTCCCTTTTCTCCTGGGGATGTTCTGTAGGGTATTTTCCCCCTTTTCTCCGGGGAATTTTCCCAAAGGTATTTTTTCCCTTTTTCTCCTGGGATTTCCCTTGAAATATTTTCCCTTTTCTCCGGGACTTTCTGTAGGATTCCCTTTTTCCCCCTGGGAGGGTTTCTGTAGGTATCATCCCTTTTTTCTCCCTGGTTTGTTCTGTAGGTATCTTCCCTTTTCTCCGGGATGTTCTGTGGGAAAATCCCCCCTTTTCCCCTGGGATTTTCTGAAAAGGTTCCCCCTTTTCCCTTCCTGGATGTTTCTTTTGGGAAACCCCCCCTTTTCCTGGGAGGTTCCGTAGGAAACCCCTTTTTATCTCCTGGGATGTTCTGAAAAGGTATCCCCCCCTTTTCCCTCCTGGAGTTCTTAGGTACCCCCCTTTTTCTCCGGGGAATTTTTCCTTTACCTGGGTTTTTTCGTGGGTACCCTTTCCCCTTTTTCCGGGGATGTTCTGTGGGTACCCCCCCTTTTCCCCTTTGGGGAATGTTTGTACCTGGGGATTTTTTCTGTGGGTATTTTCCCTTTTCCCTCCGGGAGTTCTGTGGGTTATCCCCCTTTTTTCTCCCCGGGGGGTTTTCTGAAGGTTTTCCCCCTTTTTCCCCCGGGAAAAATTGTTTTTTGTAGGTAACCCCCCTTTCCCCCTTTGGGAATTTTCTGTAGTATCCCCCCTTTTCTCCGGGGTTTTTTTCTGTGGGGTACCCCCCTTTTTTCTCCGGGGAGGGTTCTTTTGGGAAATCCCCCTTTTCTCCCGGGGATGTTCTGAAAGGTTATCCCCCCCCTTTTCCCCCCGGATTTTTCCGCAAAGGTTACCCAGGGAATTTATCAAGATATTGAAAAAAAAAAACCCAAAACAAAAATTAGAAAAAAAAAGATTATTTTCCCATTTTCCTTAATTTTCGGGAAAAAAAAATATAGTTTTTGGAAAATGAAAAAATTTTTAAAAAAAATTTAAAAAAAAAAAAAATTTAAAAAGAAAATTGGTTTTTTTAAATTAAATTGTTTAGAAAAAAAAGAAATCAAAAATTTAAATTTAAAAAATTCCCACAAAAATACCCCACACACAAAACCACACACACACACACACACACAAAACACACACACACACACACAAAACACACACACACAAAAAAATGACGTATGGCGGGAAAACCATAAAACCTTTTTTTAAGCCCCGGGGGTTTTGGAAAACCCTGTAGGAGGGGGAAAAGGAGAGGCCAAGTAGCAACCGGTGAAAGGGCGGGGCCAGGAGAAGGAAAACTCGACCCCTGCAACAAAAAATATTTAAAATAAAAAAAAGGTGAGTACACCACACACCCCAACAAAAACAAAAAAACACCCCAACACACACACACACACAAAACCCACACACACACAAAACACACACACACACACACCCCCCTGGGAAAATGAGGGTAGTGGGGGCCCGGAACCATACACAGTTTTTAAAGCCCAAAAGGTTGGGAAAAAAAGTTTTTCATGGAGGGGGGAGAGAAGGGCCAAATTGGGAAACCCCGGGAAGGGGCGGGGCCTTGGAGTGGGGAACTTCGACCCCTTTTCCAACAAAAATGGGTGATTACAAATATGAGTCCCCACCCACACACACACCCCACACACACACACACCCCCACACACACCATCACACACACACACACCCACAAACACACAACACCCCAGAACAACAACAGCCATCAAGAAACCCGCAAGACATCCCAATAAAATAATAAAAATTTTTAACAATACATAATTTTTTTTTTACTTAAAACCCCCGGCCATCAAAAAAATTAAATTGACGCGGGCCCATTTCACCCAGACACTACAAATTGGCAAAAAAAAAAAAAATTTTATTTCCCTTTAAAAATTTAAAATTCCCAAAAACCCCTATGTAATTGGGAATAAGGGGGATGAAAAAGGGTTTTTAAGAGTAAATTATTTTTGGGTGGGGGGAGGGGAAAAAGGGGGGAAGAGGGGAAAAGGGGAGGGGAGAGGGGAAAAGGGGAAGGGGAAAATGGGGAGGGGGAAAAGGCATGGTAGGAAAAAGGGGGGAGGAAAAAGGAGGCGACAATTGGAGAGAGTAATGTTTTTAAAAAACGTGTATAAATATAAATTTATAAAATATATATTTATATATATAAATAAAATATATATAAAATAAATATATATATATAATATATATATATAAAAAAAATATATATATATATAAAAATTATATAAATAAAAATTTTAATTTATTTTTATTATCACACTGGCCGTTTCCCCCCAAAAGGCAGGGTGGCCCCGAAAAAAAAAAACCCTTTCCCCATCATTCACCCTCCCCTTGTCTTGCCGAAGGGGCTTTACATTACATTTTTTAAACTGAAAACTTTAAACACCCCTCCTTCAAATTTGCAGGCACGGTTAACTTTCCCACTCCAGGACTCAAGCCCCGGCCCCTGCCTTTTTT